ACTCGTGATGCAGCGCAATGTTTCTTAAAATCTTAGGGATCTCTTTCCTTAGATAACTTAGGCATATAGAGTGAAGAATAAAATTCCTGTTAAATAGATGATCTGGCAGTCTTCATGTGTATGCATGTGCACACTGCATGTGTTTAAAATGTTACATGTACACAACTAAACAAAAGTGATAGGCATCTGAAAAGCTATTACATCCCTCTACTACTCTGTGGAGAACAGACCAGATCTGGTCTGGTATCAAAGTGAGTGCTCAGTGTTAAATACAGAGTTCAGCTTGCCAGGCAGAATGAATTTTCTCAGCACTTGGGAGTTCCCCAGTTTTATTGGTGTCTTGACATTTGTCTTACATGCCCCAAACCCAAGAAACAATCAACCTCCCAGCTCTCTTTGTGACAGGTTATTGTTAAGAAAATATTTTTCCTGGTTTTATCCATGGTTTTATTTTTGGCTCAGGTAAACTCGGAAGGGGTTGATCTGCAGAAGTATTCTGCAACTGCTTAGCACCTCTCAAAGTCAGTTTGGCAGTAAACTGTGTGCAGTGAGCTCTTTGCAGCTAAGTTTGGTCTTCACACTGAAGCCCACAGAGACTGGAGGTCATCTTGGTGCATTCAGATTCTAAGTGCAGGCTTAAAGGTGGACAGATACAAGGAGTGTTCTACAATGGCTTTGTCCAACAGGTGCCAAATACCTCATGGATGACAAAAAGGTCTTATCAGTAATCATTGTATTTACCTGGCTTTCATGTTCATTGGTATCCCTCTCCAAAATCCTCTGCTGACGAATCCTTTGAAGCTGAGTGCTTTTTGTGATGTGTGTTTGTCACTGTAAATATGCACAAAAAAACCCTGAGAACCTTAGCAGTAGACAAACAAATGCAGCATGTTTTATTTAGAGGCAGTGCTGCCTGTCAGAAGAACATGGCCACGGGGAAAAGGAACCTGGAAAGCTGCCAGACAGTTCAGGTGACTGCAGTTCAAACTGGAGGGCGAAGGCATGAGTGTTCTGGGCCTGTGAGCAAAAGTCTTCTCTTTCTGCATTTCAGACTGCATTTTTTTTTTTTTTTTTTGTATCTGGGAGTCAATTTCCCAAGGAATGCTTTGGGTGCAGCCTTCTCACTTGCTTTGTGCTGTTGTGGTAGGTCACTCAGTGTTCAAATGATGCTCAGGAATTCTGATGTGTGTGTCTGTGCCTCTTCAACACCATCACTGTCATTTATGGATCCTGAAAAGGAAGGCTAATCTCTATAGGTTTTTGAATCTTTTTAATGGTGTGTTGTAGCCATTCCTCTGTAAGGTACATTCTAGCTAGACTCACTATAAAAAGGGTGAATGAAAGCTTGTATTCTGAGGTTATTGCTTGCTGAGTACCTTGGATCTGTGACATTTGGCTGCTCTGCAGATACAACCCTTATAAATTGAAAGCTGATGGAAATGTAAGGCAGGCAAATACTTTTGCTTTTAGGCTGATACACGGATTTATTTACCCCAACTCCTACAAAAACAGTGCAGAGAAGAAATGGTGTTGGTTAATTTGCACAACAAAATGAAGACCTGGCAGTGGTACAGTTGCTGCACCCATGCTAACTTCAAGTAGCACAGATAGCTTGTGCTCAGAGGAACTGATAGTGTAGGCAAGCAGCAGTATGTGCATGCAAGGCTGCTGTGCCGTGATGTACTCTTGTACTCTGTACAAGTTAGCTTGTGATGAAGTGTCTGCTGCTTGTTTTCTGCTGCTTCTGTGGTTACCTGCCTTAGCTACATAAATAGTATTAGAAGTGTGTCTGCCATGGGTTCTTGCATGTTCATTTTGCTCTGTCTGTGAACCTCTGAAGTCCCAGCAACTTTACATCTCAAATGGAACATACAAAACAAAGCACACACTTGCTTATCTTGATGTTTTATGTTGGTATAAAGCTTCTATGAGTGATGCTGCACAGAGGGGGGTATTGTCTTTTAATCAATCAGCCAAATCAGGTTTATTGGAGTCTCTGCACTTTGTTTCTTTACACTGAATCAGAGGGGCTCTGCATGTTATAAAGTTGAGCTCACCTAGATGAACAAGTATTGACCCCAAGTGGAAGCAGGCTGAGGTAGGATTAAGGTTCACTCAGTTGTCACTGATGAATTGGCATCCATCATTCTTGGGACCTTGCTTAGAAAGGATACAATCAGAGGGAATGTTTTCAGCCATTTCTGTGAGAACTCTGGCTTTGGAAGCAGGAGTTAGTGTTTTAAGTGTAACTGTATTGTTATAGATCAGGTGGGAGTTTGGGATTTGTACTGCAGCATATGAATTTTGTGGTATGGCCTGGATGAGCACACGATCTGTTGGATCAAGCACTGGCTGGACATTTGGGCCCAAAGAGTGGAAGTCAGTGGAGTCAAACCCAGCTGGGGCCAGTCACAAGTGGTGTCCTCAGGGCTCAGTGTTGGGACTGTTTCTGTTTAACATCTTTATTGGTGGTCTTGATAAGAACATAGAGTGTATTATCAGTAAGTTCACAGATGACACCAAGCTAGGTGAGAGGGTTGATCTGCGTGAGGATAGGGAGGCTCTGCAGAGAGACTTGGTTAGATTAGATGGTTGGGCTGATGTCAGTGGTCTGGGCTTCAACAAGGCCAAGTGCTGGGTCCTGCGCTTGGGCCACAACAACCCCAGGCAACACTCCAGTCTTGGGGAAGTGTGGCTGGAAAGCTGCTTGGCAGGAAAGGACCTGGGGGTTCTGATTGACAAGCGGCTGAATATGAGCCAGCAGTGTGCCCAGGTGGCCAAGAAAGCCAGTGGCATCCTGGCCTGTATTAGAAATAGTGTGACCAGCAGAAGGAGAGGTGATTGTCCCCCTGTGCTCAGCACTGGTGAGGCCACACCTGGAGTATTGTGTCCAGTTTTGGGCACCTCAATTCAAGAGAAATATCGAGGTGCTGGAGTGAGAACACAGGAGGGCAACGAAGCTGGTGAAGGGCCTAGAGAATAAATCTTATGAAGAATGCTTGAAGGAGTTGGGAATATTTAGTTTGAGGAAGAGGAGGCTGAGGGGAGACCTCATCAGTCTCTGCAACTACCTGAAAGGTCATTGTAGAGAGGCTGGGGGTGGTCTCTTCTCACATGTAATTAGCAACAGAACAAGAGGGAGTGGCTTCCAGCTGCACCAGGGGATGTTTAGGCTCGACATTAGGAAACGTTTTTTCACGAGAAGAGTGCTCAGACACTGGAACAGGCTGCCCAGAGAGGTGGTTGATTCACCGTCCCTGGATGTGTTTAAGGGTTGTTTGGATGTGGTTTAGGGGAGGACTTTGTAGAGTAGGGATGATGGCTGGACTCAAGGGTCTTTTCCAACCTGAATAATTCTGTGATTCTATATTGTTCTCTTTTTAAATCTTGCACAGAAAATAAGAATTGTAAAGTGTTGTCAAGATGAGACATTCCTAATTACTTGCTTTTGGATATAGTTCTATGATACTATCTGTTACAAATGTTAGTTGCTTACATAGATATATTCTCTGCTCCAAAGAATTAAAATTCAGCATATCTAAGTATTTAAATGATTGCATTACTCTCTTGCATGGCTATCTGCATCACTGCAATAGAGGAACTGCAGCAATGTAGCCAACAAACCTTTAATAAAAGCTTTTGCTTGAACAACATCATGTTGGATATAGTCCACCAGAATAGAAGCAGTTTGGGGCTGCAGTGTCTTGTTAAACACAGTGTAAATGCTTTTGACAAGAAGCCTGGTCAAATACAACCATCTCTGAATGGCCAGCATGTCAGAGAATTTCCAAGTGAGATATATCATCCTGTCCTGGACTGATAGCTTTGAATAATCCTCTCATCCAACTGACTGCTTAAATGTTGCAGCCAATTTAGTTTTGCTCAGTCTAGGATGACTTGCTGCTGAAGAGCTCAGGGTTTTGTCTTTTTTTCTTTTTTTCTTTTTTTTTTTTTTTTGAGTTGTGGGGTTTTTTTGTTTTGGTTTGGTTTTTTTTTTTAATAAAAAAAGTCTGCAGCTGAATAAATGAATTTAACTCCAGCTGTCTAGGATCCAGGCTGGACTTATGGATGTTATATCCTGTTGCTGTATTGATCTGTTAGGGACAGCTCCTGAGCTCTATTCTCTGACTTCTGGGATTTTTTGCTGAGGCTGGCAAAATAAATGTGCCTTGAAGAAGACAGCTTGGTGTCACTTTTGCTCTGAGAACACTGCAGCTTTTGCTTTTCCTAGTGTCTGGTTGATGTAGCCTCATCCTGGACTGCTTGCCCTCTGCATCTACCTGTCTTGTGCTCCTGCCGCCACCTTACAATAGGGCTGTGCTGCTTCCTATGCTCTGTAGAGACATGGAGTGGTAAAAGAATAGTTGATAAGCATTTTCCTTTAGCTGTCTGCATGGTAGTAGAGCAAAGTTGTTTTATTTGCACTTTTGAAGGACAAAAATAATGGTAAGTTGGAAGGGCTGCTTGGAGGATGCTGTGGAGGACTTCAGCCAGATAGAAGTCTGTCCAGTTATTGCTTGTGAAAGAGCGTCACATCGGGATTGTTGATTTACCCTTGTTTTGGGTTTTGTGGAGGATGCCAGGCATTGAGGCAGTGCTTCAGTGTCCCAAGTCTGCTTCCTAGCCTCTGCCTCCCACTGAAAGGACAGAGAGGGGGTTGATGTCCCCTGTGCCTGGGTTGGATTGGCATGCCAAGTAGCAGAGCGCTGATCTGGGGAGAGTGGGATGCCCAGAGCCCTCCTGTACCTTGGGTAGCTGGAGCCTGGGTTTTTTCCTGCCTGAGTTTTCAGCTGGTTACATGCTTCTTTGATCCCTTCTGTCATCAGCTGAAGAAAGTTCCTGCTTGGGCTTATGAGTGAGAGTGCTAAGAAACAAAAAAGTAATTGCATTCAGTTTTCCTCCCCCTGGCCTCCACTCATTATTGTTCTGAGAATGGAGAGACTCCTTCCTGCCCTCCTTTAAGAGTCACAACCATTTTTCACTTTATTTGTCTTTTGCAGATCAATTTTGTAGCCTGTCAACTGTTTGCACTTTTGGCTGCATTTTGGTTTCGTATTTACTTGGGTCCCAGTCATGCCAGCTCTGCTGTTCGCCATGCATTTGCCACCCTCTTTGGAATATATTTTGCTGTCTTCTGCTTTGGGTGGTGAGTATTTAGTCACCATGTAGATAAGTCTTGGGTAAAAATATTTTTAAAATTCCTATAATCTTTTCTAGATTACATCTTTTTAGTCTTAAGATACGTTCTATGTTATCCTAAAAAAATAAATAAATAATATAAATCCTAGCTGAAATAACCATCCCAAACCATCAAAGTAAATGAGCCACCAAAGTATTTGTGAGTGAAGGCTGTAATGTTTGTTCTGGAAGTTAGACCCACACCAGTCTGCTGGGAAGATACCTCTTTTGGAAAAGACATGTCTAGTTTGAATATGCACTTGGAGGTAGGCTGCTCTTTTTCTAAATGAAACACGTTGACAATATCTTGTCAAGCAGTATTAATCCATGTTGGATAATCAGGCTATAAGAATGTCATTGTAAAAATCCATTTTTTACTGATGTCCTGATATGATTCTACATTTATTTCATTTGCATGGAAAAATATTACCTTGCTCAGAACTGGCAGCCCCTCCAGGTCACAGAAATTATCTAAATACTCACTTTGTTGTCTTCAAGGTATTCCATTCATCTTTTTGTTCTGGTGATGATGAACTATGGCATTATGAATATGGCAAGTATTCCCAACATCCACAGGTGAGCTTACGTGGCTGCAAGACTGGACCTGCCCTTCTGACAACTTCTTTCATGGAGAAGCATGAGGGTTTTTTAGGACCTCCTTCTCTTCTTTCCTGCCTTTCTTGCCCAGTAACTTGGAGGAGCTTTGTTAATTCACTGAGAGAAGCATCTGTAATTTCAATTTGTGGTTTTTTTGCATTGGTATATTGCATTTCCCTATGAAATAGTTGGCCTCAAAGGTCAGCTCTTGTGGGCTTAACAACTTATGTCCAAGCCTCTGGTTTGCACAACATAATGAAGTCATATTCTCCTTGGTTTTGTGTCCTTGAGAAGTGCTTTTCATAATCCTTTGTAATGTGTTTTTCCCCTTTAGGTATTTTCCACTTATTCTTCAGTTAGGTAGTTCAAGTAAGGTAATTGTGGCAGTTTAACTTAGTGATCTACAAAATAGTCTTGCATTTGGTCCTGGGCTTAGAGCTTGAGAAAGCAGAAAGTACCAGAAATGTCACTGCTTTGAAGCAGAAGTTTACAACATCATCATGAGAAGATCTTGACTATGGGCTCTTTCTCTTCTCTGTACAAATATCTCAAAAGAAGGAAGACTCCTAAAAGTGCTTTATCTAATGAGTGCCTTCGTGGCCAAAAGACAAAATGCACTTTTGTATGAAAATGGAAGCTGCATGGTAGTAACACCATCTTATTTCACTAAATAAGAGAAAGTTTATGTGGAAGAACTTCTCTGTTCAGTCACTGGCTAGAGGGATGAGCTGTCTGCTCTTCCCACTTTTGTGTTGGCCTCCCTAACAGCACGTGGTTGATACTGTGGTTTGGGCATGTTACAGGTGATTTCTCTCTCCCCCCTCTTTGTGGCTGTTTCTGTAGTGGCTGCTGAATGCTCACAGCCTGGCTGAGGAATGGAAACACTTTATTTCCTCATCTTCAGGGCCAGGGCTGTCTGAGGGGGTCTAATGCTCAGATAATCATCTTCCCTTCTTCTTTATCTCTTCCTGAGGCAATGACCCCGGTCTTATATCCAAATGAGGACCATCACTTACGATTTGTCTAGGATTGTTTAGAAATGTGAACTGTAAGTGACAGGTTTGTCTATAGCAGTCACTAGCATTTTGCATCAGCAAGGTAGGTATTAATCAAGGAGCTTTTTTACACACCCTCTCAAAGTGCAAAGCCCAGAAGTCCAGAGGTGATGAATAATTTTTTAAAAAGTTAATGTTTACAAAGGAAATGCCATTCAGAGACAAGAAGGAAAAAGTGCTAAAAATGTCTATTACTTGTCTCCTGGTCATTGTCCCTGTGGGTCACCTGTGGGGAAATGCAGAATTTGCTGATTATAGATCAGAGGAACCAAGTCTGCAGAGGGAATCATGGAATGCTTACTTAGATTTTCCTAGACACGTTGAGGTGGTGGTGGTAGGGAACAGGCACAGTTCAAACAAGAAACCCCCTCACTCTTACCATTTAGCCAGTTATCCACAATGGGAAAAATAATTGCATACTGCAACACAAATTAAGCTGGATCATATGATGTCACCCACCACTGCAAGATAGTCATGTGTTGATTTGAGTCAATGTGAAAGAGCAATCTAACGTGCTGAAAAAGCTTAGGAGGGCTGGGAGGATTGGATTAGGACTTTTCTACTGTATTCCACTAGCCATGGCAGTTTGACTCAAAGTACATCCACATTATTTATTTTGGCAAAATAATAGTGTATTCAAGCTGCTTGAGAATAAGCTTGGAAAATGCCAGTTTAAGGGCTGGACCTGCTCATATGGAGAGCATGTAAGAGCACTGGTTCTTTCTCTCCAAGACTTGGCTTCCCCCCAGCAAATGCAAGTAAAAGTGAACAAATTAAATACAGAAAATACATAGTTTAACCTGCATGCTCTTTTCCCTGGTTATTTCTGCCAGTTTTCTCTCTGTTAAGGCTGCCAGCCTTCAAAGCCTATAAATGTACAAACTAATCCAGCATCAGAAATGCTCCCAGCTACAGCAGCAATTCAGTATATCTCTCCCTGCTCACCCCCCTTTCAATCTGGGTGCTTTATACTTAAGCATTGAGGATTATTTTAGATGCTTCATTTCCCATCTGTCATAGTTACATGTCAAGCTAGGTGACTTGCATTGGGAAGGATGCTTGCCATTCTCTGTTGATGAGGGGAAGCCCAAGGACCTCACTGAGGCTCAGCTGGGTGTCTGACTAAGATAGAGTAGGATACATTCTGCTCTGAATCTCCTGTAGGAGCTGCCATGTCCTCTCAGTCTGCCTTTCATCCAGCTGTTTGCTGGGGGCCACATGACCTGCAAGTTGCCTTGCGATTCATCACTGTCATTCACACTGCAGTTTGTTAGTCCTCAGGGAGGAAAAACTCGTTTATTTTAAAGCCAGCCATTTGGCAAAGGTCTGGCTCATTTTTAGTCCCATGGTGACTGTTCCTCTTGTTTGATTTCACCTTGAGATCTCCACCATGGTCAATCCTCCTGTGGGTCTCGCGGGACCCCACCAGCCTGCCTGACCTCCAGTGACTCATTTCTGCCAGGGGTGCTGGGTGTGCAGTCTCCTCCATGTTGGCTGTCTTCTGATGCAGGGGATGCCAGTAGACCTGGTCCTGGCCTGTCCATGTGATGCAAGCCTTTTATTCTGGTGCTCCACCTCTTTGTTGCACTGTCTAGTTTGCTTAATTTGTCAGTCTTGTTTCCAAATACCCATCTGCTTCTCACCTCCCCAGGGTCCTTTTTCTTGCTTGGGTAAATACAGGGAGGATGTAGTTGTAGGGAGTGCTGCATCTGCCCCACTGAGACACTGCAATCCCTTCAAACCTCAGACCATTCCACTCTTCGGAGTCATGCTACTGTCCTGCCTAATGCAATTTTGCGATCATTTTGAAAAACAAAGAGTAAATTTGTCAAGCTCAACTTAAGGAATGCTTCTTCTGGAAACGGGCATCTTTCAGCATTTAGAGCTGAAAAGATTAGGCTGTATGTTGATACCTGCCTTTATACAAAATCAGAAGACAAAGAATACCTTAAACCTGAAATATTTTAGTTTCTGGATGTCTGAGAGAGTTGTACATGTAAATAAAGATTTACAGATTAAAAAGGCAATGGATAACTTCAGTGACATGTACGGTATCGTCTGGTTTCAAATACTTGAGTCAGACAGAAATTTCAAAATAATATGCGAGGGTGGGAACTCTGAAATTTAAATGCTCCACTTGGAGTGATCTTAGTTCTTTTCTTTTTTTTGCCACCCCCAGTGTGAGGAGACACCTCCGTAATGCTTCAGCTGGGTACACAAAACCATTGAAAGTTTCTGCTGTGTCTTGTAATGTAGATTCAGACTTGTTAACAACCTACTTTGCAAAAATCAAACTCCACCCCTAAACAAGCCCAAATCCAATCTGAGTGTTTCTACTTCTTGTTGGTACTTGTGTTGGTAACTGTTTGTTCTGTGTGTTGTGTTTTTAGGTACTCCTTTGTCGTAGCTATGGGATACCTCACGTTGTGCCACATAAGCCGAATATACATATTCCATTATGGTATTCTCACTACAGATTTTTCCGGGTGAGTGCATCTGCAAGTTGGGCCCTGTCTCAATTAATATTATTTAAATTTAGTATTTTTAAGAATAATTGTTGTTATCTGGGGAGCATTGCAGTTTTGTTTCCCTTTCTAAGACTTTTCTTGTTTTTAAGGAAGGAATAAACGGTGAGATTTTGGCATTGACTCATTGTTTCCGCTGTTTTCTTGCTAGGTGCTATCCAGTTACAAGAGTAGAGCTTGATTAGTTGTGTTAGTAACCAGAGCAGACTGCGAGAAGTCTGGGCAGTTGCTCACTGGTGCTGGAGAAGTTCTTATAGCCCTGGCGAGCAGCCCAGGGGGTGCTCTGGTCCCTGGTGGGGTGGGCTGCTCTCCTCCCACCTTACTAGGCACAGCTATTGGCTCATCCTTTCACCCATTCTGGTTATTCTTGATGCCCCAAGTGGAACGGTGTTTCCCCACCCAGGCACTCCAGCAGGTGGGAGGGAAAGACTTGGAAAAGTGGTGAACGGCTGGGGGAACAGGGAGGTGGGTGGGTAACCCAGGTAGAGAGACACGAGATCACCTGTGAGTGCTGTTGGCACTGGTCTTGTGAGTTCTCTCACAGAGGCAGGTTGTTGCTGCTGTTTAAACAGCACAACTTTCTCTATGCTGTGCATTTCTGTGGACAAGTGTTTTTTTTCATATATACTGTAGTCTCTGTGATTTCACTTAAGCAGTAGAGGATGCTATGCAAAAATACAGACAGCTAACCCTATACATTTTCTTCATGAGAGGAAGGTATGCTTTTGCATGATTTAAAAACTATGTGCTAATCTGTATTCCACTTGTTTAATCAGATGTCTGAATATAGAATAATTAGTAACATACTATGAAAAAATCTCTGTAAACTGGCATAGTAACTTGTAATTGCCTCTTTGAAGCCTCTGTCTTGCTATAGGCATAGAGCAGTAAACTGAAGGGTTTTGCTGTCAGTGTGCATCTGTCTCTGTGTGACATGGTGGGTTTAAGCATTTAATTAAATTTTGGGGTGTGGGAGGAAAATTCCTTTGAGACTTTTAAGTTTTTTAATTAGAGGAGGGGGCAGAAATGGGATCTCATGCATTTAGAGAAATGTAGTTCTAGATTTTTTTCTGCAGTTCTTTTGATACACAAAAGCGTGTCCTGAAAGAGCGTGACATACCAAGAAGCCTATAAATGGGTTTGGAGTGCGATAGCTCTCTGTGTGTGTGAGACAGAGGGAGAAAGGTTCAAGAGCCTGCTTTTCTGAATGGTGTGTTCAGAAGTGCACTGTGAGCTGTAATAGCTGTCTCTCTCTGAAGACATTTAAATAAGATCCAGCTGAGTCTGGTGATGGAAGAAAAGGCATGGTGGGTGTTTATATGATAGACTAGCCTTTTCTGCTCTCGGGATGAAAAAGGAGCTACTCTTATCTAATGATGAGCTTGATTATAGTGGTACTGAAAGAGTAATACCTGAATTTACCCTGTTACTTGATTTTGTCCTAATGTTTCGAGATATAAACCGATTCATATAATCATAGAACTATTCAGGTTGGAAAAGACCCTTGGGATCACTGAATCCAGCCATCATCCCTACTCTACAAAGTTCTCCCCTAAACCATATCTACCAACACCACATCCAAATGACCCTTAAACACATCCAGGGATGGTGACTCAACCACCTCTCTGGGCAGCCTATTGCAGTGTCTGAGCACTCTTTCTGTGAAAAAAATGTTTCCTAATGTCCAGTCTAAACCTCCCCTGGTGCAGCTGGAAGCCTTTCCCTCTTGTTCTGTCGCTAATTACCTGTGAGAAGAGACCAGCACCAACCTCTCTACAATGACCTTTCAGGTAGATTCCTTAACTTCAATCAAACATAAAACGGCCAAGTAGTAAACAACTGGAAAATGTAGTAAGGATATCAACTACATCTTCATGGTGTATTTTTAAAACTAAGAATAAAAAAAAATACTGTAGTGATATTTATAAAAACTTGCGATGCAAAGTGCTGGTACCTAGATCAGCCTCACTAATCTGACTTAAAACCTGTTTTCCATGGCTGTAAATAATACATATCCACTGTATTTAAGCACACATGTAAACAGGTGTGATGACCCAGAGAGACAAAATACATTCTCTGACCAGTTTTACCATGTATTAGCAGCAGCTGAGCCTCCTCCTGCTTGCTTTCGCATGTTTGCTGGTTCAACATCTATTGCACGTGAAAACAGAGAAGCATTCAAACAGGCTCCTGGCCAGAAGGATGTCCTTGAAGTTCTCCTTCAGGACTTCACACTGGATTTAAGGTGTTCTCAAAAAGCCTGTTCTCTACTGCCTTGCGTTTCAGGTCTCACTATCTTGTAAGTCTCTAATGGTACTTGATTGCAAGGAGGAAGTTTAAATTCACATCAACTAGGCGTGTAACTGGTTTTAGTGCAATCAGTTTTTAATCTTCAGCTCCCTGAAGTGATGAGCCAGATATTAAATGAGTGTTTCCCAGTGTTGCTGCTGAAGCTGGCATACCTCATTTACTCTCTTTGACCTGCTTTGTGTTTGTAAGGGCTTGCTTGCATAACCCTATTGGCATGTGCTTGCAAATACATATTTATTTATTTATTTATTTATTTCTTTAGTAGTAGCTGGTTGTGCTATTTGATTGGAGTCCCCCCATTTTGAAAACACATCCTGTAAAATTCAGGTAGAGATGGGGAGAAGGAGATAACTTTTGAGTCATATCTTAAGTAAACTCAAAAATGGAAAATCAAACTATGACTCATCTCTTCAAGGTTAAGAAGAAAGGAAACTTGTTCCCTGCTGGTGACTACTTTATTCTTCTAAGTCATGCAAAGGGTAGGCTTGGTCACTGAGTCCCACAATCTAAACTGTACTCTAGCTGCTTGCAACAGTTTCTTGATTCAAGAGTTTTTAATGTGTTGCATACTACTGAGGTGAAAACTCCATTCGTTTTTGTTTTTAATACTACATGCCAGGTTTTAATGAAAACCAGATCTAGTTTGCTATACACTAATTTTAATTACTTTAAAAAATATATATATTATCAAGGTTATTTCATTTATATTATTTCACAAAAATGTGGTGACATAGTTTAGGAATTTTCTCTTGACTACTTTCTCAAAGAAAACTATTAATTTTGAAGACTAATTGTGAAGTAACTAAATGCTGTGCTTCCCCATTAATTCAAATCACCTTTTCAGAGAAACATGCATATTTTATTTTGCTTGGTTTGCCATGGCATTTGTACATTGTACCTAGGAAAACTAAATCCTAACTCTTTCTCTCTCTTTTTCTCTCTCTTCTTTCTTCTTTTTTATGCTAAGAGGATTATGCTGGTAAGTTGCCTGGTTTCTATACAACTTTATAAATATGCTAATGTTAACATATACTTTGTGGTTTTTTATCTTCGTAACACAGACTCAGACCAAGTATAGAAATATTATGGCTTTAGGGAGAAATAAGTTTAAAATACATCAAGGGATCTTGATTGGGATTTTTGGAAACTAGTAATAGATATGGTTGCAATCCAGTATGCTATGTGAACAAATACCACATGCATATTTTCGTCTTGACAGAATTCAGAGGACCTCCACATCTATATGAAGTTGTCTGTTTTAATCCTTTGCTTGATTAAGACCTTAGAGCTTTTTGATTTCCTCTTTGAATTCTTGCAGCATCTGGGAAAAGTTTCCTGATGTTGCAGCTCATTTGGTGAATGTCAGGGAACGATCATGTGTATGTGAGTTTCTTGGTGCTGTTCCTTACAGAAAAGGGATGATCAGTCAAACAGCCCTCCTGAAAAGCCTTATGAGCAGATACTTTAGTAACAAGTGTCACTTCAGGCACTGAATTTGTGTCGGGTGGTTAGTGGTTTGTTGCTGGTTTTTCCCCTTTGGGTGGCTTAGTATCAACACACAAGGAAGGAGCAAAGGTGCAACAGCCCGTTTTTACAAAGGAAATACATTTGCTGATGGGAACAAACATAGGTGTACTCTGTTACCATGCTGAAACACAATGCAGAAGTACTGACTGATCCTGCTAGCTCAGTTGGATATTTTTGTGTTCTTTAAATGGATGAAGGGCAGTACATTGCCTGCAGTGTGTGTTGCAGCAGCTCTGGGTGACTTTTTCCCTCAGCAAGTCCCCAGGGTCAGCAGAGCAGCACACGTGTGAGGTGAGTAAGGGCAGGTCCATCTGGTTTCTGTGCCTGCTCTCTGCCTGGCAGCTCCGCTGGGCATTTGTCCACTTCAAGACTGATACCACTTACTGTTGGTTACAGAGAAGCCCTGCAAGATCCACAGTGTGGGAATTAGCTAGAATTCAAGCAGAAAGTCACTGCTAGAGAGCTCCATGTGCCTAGTGCATCCCAGGACACTTCTCTAGAAGTAAATCCTCTTTAAGTGAAATGCTTCTATCATGAAGATGTAAGAAGTGCTCTTCAGGAGCTTTCACCAAATAAAACCTACATGGAACAAATTGAAAGTTGCTGTAGAGGCACGAATGTGTTTAGTGAAGTATTTTCCTCTGTGTGCCCCAGCACTTCCTCATTTTGCTGTTGAAAGCAGAAGTGAGAGCCTGGTGCCAGCGGGGCTGTTGGGGTGTCTCTGGCTTGGCAGTCCCCTCAGCAGCGTGCTTAGTGTCACAGCAGAGTGTCACTGTGTGAACTTCTCCTCGTGGCTGCAGGGCTACAGAGATAAAACTGAAACAAATGTTTACTGCTTTGGAGTCTTGTCGGCAATGAGCCTGTTGGCTCCACCTCCTCTCTTAGTGAAATCAGGTCAGTGGAAACTATTTCTGGCGAGCGTGTGCCAGACTCCTCCACGGGATTACCTAAGGTCAGGCAGACTTGGCTTGGTAAATGTCTTTTCTCTTGTCAGCATCAAAGCTTCCTTGGGGCAGAAGCCAGCCTGTGGGATGGGGAGAATCCCCAGAGCACGCTACAGCCGATGCTGACGTCTAGTTTCACTGGCCTGTGCTGCTGGGCAAATTTATTTCACTGGGACAAGCAGCATTTAAAAAACAAAACAAAACACATTAACTCGTATGTTTTCATTGGAAGGTTTAATTAGTGGGTAAAACCCTATTGAGCATTCTTTGTAAACTGTTGCATGTTTGTCTTGTGCTATTTTTCAAGGCATCTAGCACAAGGTAAGGACAGTTAAGGGATTTTTTAGTTGTTGAAATTTCCTGTTTTATACTGACTCCCTGGAATTCTTTTTTTTTATTTTATTTTTTTGTCATTTCAAGTTGGCCACTATGGTTTGTGTGTAGGCAGTACAGTGGAACTACAACTTGACATGAAACATTTAGCCATTATATAAAATGTAGAGGGAGGAAAAAGTTACAGCACAGGTAAATGTAATTCTGTGCTGGTTTGTGGCTGTTGTGGATGTCGGTGATGTAGAATCAGTGTTTAGTGTGTAGCTGCGAAGCAATTGGAAGGTGTTCTAATATTATCAAGTAGTTTCTTCTTGAGTATGTGTTTTATTTCAAATTCCCTGTTTCTAGGAGCAGATCTTCATGCGTTAGCTGTGAATGCAGGTATAATAGGTAGATTTTATTTTTAAATACAACCTAATAATTTGCCTCACTCCCAGTAACCCATGCATCTCTCAAAATTTGGGAGCAAGAAAGAATATTGGAAGTTTTGTAGCTTTGTTAACTTCTCTTCTATTTTGCAGCCCTTCTGGCTTTTTTTACTAGAGTCTAATGTTTAAATTATTATAAAGATGGAAACAGCTGACAATATGTGATATGATGCTGTATTTACGTATTAACTTGCTCAAAGTTTTATGGCTGTTTAAAAGTAGAGGTCACCCGAAAGTCTGAATGGAGTGACAATTCAGTACTCTGATATTGCCAAGTTTTAATAATCAGAACTCATGTGTGTATTTAGGAAATTATTATTTTTTTTCCATAAATTAAATGTATTTTTTCTTAATTTTTATTACTGGTTCTGGACTTATGCATTGCTCAGCAAATATGGGGGAAAGGACTATTTTTCATTCTGAAGAAACAAAAGCTTGCTGTATGTGTGTGTGTGTGTGTGTGATGAGGAGACATTGGTGAGGCCCCAGGGAGGAGTGGGAGAGGTGTGAGTGTGCAGAATGTGGGAGGCTCCCAAACCCCAAAGGGTGCCAGAAGAGCTCCAGCACTGCAGTTGCTTTGTTGTGCTCTGTCCTGTCCTATGGCCATGGCTTGGTCCTCCAGTGATATCAAGTCAGTGGGAGAGAAGAGACAGTGAGAATAGACAGATGATGGAGGAGGAAGATGCTCCTGCTTTACCTGAAACCTTGCAACCTGAAACCTGAAATCCTTAGTGCAAAATATTTAATGGTAACTCAAACTGAGCTTGTGAAGGATGTAGAAGGTGTCATCCTATTGCCATGGTACAGCAGGTTTCCACCTTCCTGAGTAGGGTATAGAAGGGAGATGTATATATGTAATATGATGGAAGAAGAGAGAACTCAAAGTATCTCAGATACGTTTTGTGGGTCTCCCACTCATGGTGTTGGCAAGATCATTTTATGCTCGCTTGGTTCCTCTGGAGTTGGGACTTGAGGGAGGCAGACTGTCCATCTTTTCTGACGAGGAGTCAGGAGAGGCTGCCTTGGTCTGTGGGGTTACATTGTGCCATCAATGAATGCCTAATAGAGATGAAGAGAACCTCTCTCTTCTCTGTGTTTATACATTGTGTGACTTCAGGCTGCGCTTCTGCTTCCCTTGGTTAATCAGCACATCAGGATTGTTTGCATTTTGGTTCTCTACAGCTTAGAGTGAGGGCCCTGATTTTCTAAAACAAGTCTCTAAATTTAGGCACCTGAAGGCACATGGTTTTGGCTCTGAGCCTGAAGTTTAAAGTTACCCACTTCAACACTGGCATAAAGTGCTTTCTGTAAGAAACATGTGCAACAAATTGAACCAATTTGGAACAGGTGTTAATGTCACCTGTAAAGCTAAAAGGTGAAGCACTGATAAAATAAACATCTGTGTTTATTGCAGTAGAACTGCTGCTTCACTGACAACCTCTGTCTCTCTTAAGGATTAAAAAAATCTGCTTTTTCATATGCTTAAAGAATTGGGATGATGTATCTTTGAAATCAAAGCTAAATTTTGTCTGAATGGGAAATCTACTTTGAGGATGGGAATGTTGGAGATAATGGTGAAAACAGCTTATAAGTAACTTTTACTGCAAGCTGAACTGGAGTAAAAATTAAAATGACTATTTTGCAATACTTCCATTATCTGGAAGGTGAAAAGTCAGTGTTAAATTTATGCATTCCTTAGCTGCCATCAGTGGTCTAGGTGACCCAAGGAGAGCTGCTGTACAACCTCTTGTGTTCCAGTTGTATTCCAGATCTGTGTATATTTAAGCTTGTTCTGGATTTTATGTGTAAGCTTTTAAGCTGTCATTTCAAGTAGAGATGGCTGAAATGATAAAAATAGTTTCTGATTAAGAAATAGGCTGATATTCCATGTTCTCAGCTTTTGGGTAGAAAAAGTAAATTACCCACACAGAATAACAAGTGGACTCTTGAAAAGATCATCCAGATTTAGTACTAAAAAAAAGACCACTTAACATGAAAGAATGTCTTTTTCCAGTATTCTTGTGTTTACCATGTGCAGCATATTAATTATCTTGAAAATCAGTTTGATTTATTATATATAAATATAATCAGATTGCAAAACAGTTTATCTTAGCCACTGATTTTATATTTGATTGTAACCAGTAGTTCAATTTTAGTGAAGGATGATTCAGAATCTCTTGAAAATCTCTGCAGAACATGAATATTTGGCTGTTATATTTAGATATAACTGAATGTAACTTTCTTTTCTTGTCTTGAAAAACTGATGAGGAAAATACAGTGCTTGAACTAAAAAAAAAAAGCCTTCAGCTTTTTTTCTTTCATTGGATTCCAAAAAATGCATTGCAGTGTTTGAAATGAATAGCCATAATATTTGGAGTAAATATCTACAGCTCTTTAGCAAGTTCCATATACCAGTCCAACCCTGTAAATAGCATGTGTATAAACTCGAGTGTTCATTTCCATGTTGAAGTCATCATTTGTGTTCAAGCAGAAACACCTGCACGATTTATGGTGATAATTTATCACCAAATCAAGAAACAATCCATTGTGTTTGCCCTCAGCAAAGACATGTATTTTCTTTGGAACTGGTTTTACATATAATCATAACAATTAATGCTTTGAATATAATGTTTCCTCATCACCTGTTACAACCTCCTGGCTATTGCATTTGTGAAGGTCTTGTAGGTAGTGTGAGATTCTGGGCACCCTGTGCTGGTGTCCTCAGTGGCAGAGAGATGGGGAGAGGCAGTGTTTGCAGGTGCTTATCCCTTGCTTTGCCTGCCATGGGTCTTTCCAGATTACAGATGTTTAGTGCCAGGGGTTTGTGTTCAGACCTCCACAGCCCTTAGAAGCTGTGCATGGAGCACAATTAGCCCAGGAACCTCTGCCTGTGAGGGACTGGTTAGCTGTCCTCATGGTTTTTCCCCATCTTTCTTCTTACGTACCTCTGAATCCTCCTGGCTCTATCTTTCACCCTTATGGGGCCCAAGTTCTGAAGCCACTGAGATGAGTTTTGCCTTTTTTTTTTTTTTTCCTATTCCTTGGCTGCAGCAGCTCAGCTCTGCCTGCAGTGCTAAGAGGCATATTAAAGCTGGATGTGGGAAGTACAAGCAGCCCTGTTGAGCACAGTGGCTATTCCTATGCTGTTTGTTTGCTTGGCCCCAGGCTACTGGGTGGTTGTAGCCTGTAAGCATGACTCAGGTACAGCTTTTGGGAAGCTCTAGATCCCACATGGCCAAACGCTCCCTGGTGGATGGTACATCTTGGACAGGATGTCCACAAGGCAGTTGCATGGCCAAGAAGCAAGTGGGAAACTGCTGTGCTGACTGCTATTCTGGTATTTGCATGCACTCCTAATTAATAGGGCTATTCATGTGGGGAAATAAGTATGAGTATCTGCAGAGTTGACATTTTTTTTAGGGCACTGAGGAGACAGACAATAGGAGAGTAGCAGTGTGAAGAGCCAGAGTTATGTTACAGCAGTATTGCTGTACTCCAGTGTTGTGTCATCTGGGGTTTGATTTGGTCTTTGCCTGAAAGGAAGCCCAGTGGACTGCAGAAGCTGGTATTTCCAAGTGGTGCCATTTCTCCTGAATTACAATTTGCACTGCTATGGGATGGGGAGGCACAAAATAAGGCTTTGTGTGCACTTAGCAATTAAACATTCCAGTGCAAGTTACTGTGGGGTTGTTTTGAACCCAGGCAATTGTCTTATGCCTGAGTTCCTCCGTCTGTTTTAATTGGATGTTTTCCACTTGTTGCTAACACAGTTATGCCTTTTAAAGGGATAAAGATGTTCAGTAAGAAAGTTGGGAATAACTTGTATTACAAGATGTAACTTGTTTCTGTCTTTGTTGTAGTCCGCTGATGATAATTACACAGAAGATCACAACACTTGCTTGCCAGTTACATGATGGTAAGAAAAGGAATCTTCTTGTATGTCCTGAACACAGCCTTTTTATTCCAGCTCATTCTGTGGTTGAGTTACGGAGTGGATGAATGTCATTCAGCAAGTTACTTCAAATGAAGAAGAAAAATGCTTTATGGAGGAAAACATGAAGCTTCAAGTTTTGATTAGTTCTGTAGGATCAAACTGCCTTTGTAGTAACAAAGATAATTTTTTCCTTCTTTGCATGATTTACTTCCTTTGGGCCCAGTTTGGATTTTAGCTAGTACCAGTACCTGCTGTTTAGATGTGACATTGCATCTCCATTAAGCTCTCTAAAGTTGTTCTTGGTTCTCAAAAATGGGTGTTTGAAATTGTGTATGATATGTAGGTCCAGTCATTCAAGTTAATGTAGCAAAAATATGCTATCACTGATATATTCAGTGATAATATACTCTGTGAGTTGTGAGGTGGAATTCAGTAGCTGTTTCGCAGTGCAGGAAAGCACAGCTGCGAGCAAAATAAAATTGTCTTCAGTCTTGTGTTGTGCTGTGACAAAGAGCACTATTATTTCCTGGTAAAATGCCTGTGTCGAGTACAGTGCAAAGGCTAGAAATGTCAGTTGTCATCAGTGCTGTTATTGCTTGTGTCTGCTGGTGTTGCAGTGTGAATTTCTGATGCTTCAAGGCCCATTGCATTATAAGCTGTGGGTGACTAAATAAGGAGCCTGCTAGGGAACTGTTATGATCTAGGATTTAGGTGATGGCCACACCACAGACTGCAGAGTCTGACCTTGTTCACAAGCCAAGTTTACACAAGTGGGTCTAATTCTTTTAGCTGGCTATAATGGGTGCAGCTTGAAGCTCTGCTAATTGACCTTGTTGTTGACATTCATGTTGCTGGGGCTTCTCTGCTTCTGTTATTTAAGCTTCCCAGCTCAGGTTCCCTGCATGCCACAGTGGTGGGCAGCCAAGATGCACACCAAGAATACTAGAGGTAAGCAAATAGACAGAAAGGAAAAGATGACAGCAGAGGCAGGAGCATTTTAATCAAACCAGAAATCCTACAGATTAATGTTGGTGGAAGAGGCTCATTACATTGTGAACATCCATATATGGTGCAGTTGATCAAATGGAGGCAGCTTGCAGTTCAAGCATTAGTGCCAAATGTCTATTTGTGAAAATTGAACACAGCTGCCTGTAAATGGAAACAGATGAACGAAATACCCAGCCCTTTAAGTAATCAAGTGTTTAATTGTTTCCCTGGAACTCACACCCTCTCAGTATTTACAAACTGAAATAGAGGAGAGAGAATGGAAATGAGCAGCTTATCAGCAGTCTTTTCAGGAAATGGGTCTTGTGTGTGTATATCAGTAATTATGGCCAGTAGGTTTAAAATAGTGTTAATTGATGCCAAGCCCCTGCTCTTGTGAAGATGTATATGTGCATTCTCAGCATCTAGTGCTGTGACTCATCTGTGGTGAGTTGTTCTGCTGAAGCCAGTGGGATTCCTCACAGTATGCACAGTTAAAGCTTCAGAGGGAAGTTTTTGAGATATTTGCTATGAGCAACATCTCTTTATGCACTGGCCACCATACAAGATTTTTCCATAGTTTTTCTGGGGCAATGAGTCTGTGCTCTACCTCTGGCCCCAAAGGTATTGTGCACTCAACAGGAAACTGCTCTTCCAGTCTGGGTCTTGTACAATTCCAGATTATTACTGGTGTGTGTTTACGCTTGCTCCAACAGCAGGCAGCAAGGCTGCTTGTTCACACCAGTGGAGCTTCTGTTTCCTCAGAGCCCGTTTCTCTTCCACTGCCCACTCCTCCTGCTGTGAAATGCTCCATTTCTCACCACGGAGCCAGCAGGAGGCTTGTGCTTAAATGAGCCAGCAGCTTCTGGGAACAGAGGTTTTTCCAGCCCTTATTGGAGGCTGCTGGGGGCTGCTGCTGATTGGTGGCATTGGAAGTTCATTTTATGTGTGGGAACACTATGACTACTCTTCTTGAAAATGTGGAAAGGGTGAGAAGGGGGGAATGAGGTAAGGACTTAGGGTAGAACTTGAATATGCTTGGCCTAAAAGCCTTAAAACTGCCTGTGTCAAAGAAATATTGAAGTTTATGGCTTCAGAAAGTTACCTGTGTGGTGCAAACATATGGCTTTGGGGACAGCTTTCCCTGTTTGGCTTTCAGAAAGCTCTAATGTGACTTCTTTCTTCCCAGGAATAGGGCGACAAGCTGAGGAACTCACTGCTGAGCAAAATCGCCTTGCTGTAAAGTAAGAATTTAATTTCCCTAGTGGTTTGTGTTTAATTTCATCCAAAGAAGTTTAGGGTTCGGTTTTGGTTTTGTTGTTTTTGGGGTTTTTTCCTTTGCAATGTCAGGACCAACTTAGTGGCCTGGCCATGAAAATGTTCCATTCTTCCTCCCAGTCCATGATCAGCCAAAAGTCCTGCCTTGATTTTTCTGTTTGCTTGAGCAGTTTTGGTTTTGTGATGCTGCTGTCAGAGCCCTCCTTACATATACATAGCTTCTTTTTTATATTCCTTATTTCTTCAGTCCAAGACTTCTGGTCAGTAAAGTACTGAAATACTTGAGAACATCTCATCGACTTACAAATATATTCCACATGCAATAAAACTGGTCTTTAGTGAATCAATTCGTTTATATTCAAGCACTATATGGAGTTTTTGGCCATTGCCTTCATCCTATCTGTGATACATTAATTTTCTAAGTAGGATACTCCTCCCTCTTCTGTCAGCAAACCACTGTGTAGTAAAATTTAATTTTGGTTTGAGTCTGTCAATTCAAGTACTCCTTTCTTTGCCATAATTTTTGAACACTGAGAATCTCTTTTTCCTATGTCCTTCCCTTATATTAATACTCCTATTGTTGGTTATTCTTTCAGGACAACACTCCTTCATGTTAGGTGACTAGGCTTTTCACTTTTCAGAGAGAGACAGCATATTAATCATATATTTGAGCACCTTTTTAATTTATTTTGTCACTCAATACAAGTGCAGGATGCAGGTGAATTGTATTTATTTATTTATTTAAAAAATAATGTTGCAGAATTAGCCTTAGAACCATAACTACTTTTCACTGTGAAGTTTTTCTTTAAGGCCAAGGCAATTATTTCCTTCGTTGCCAAAGCAGAAGATTCAACCTTCATAAAATCTGCCTGTGAGCTTCTAAAAGAAAGAATGGAAGGAGTAATTTCTTGAAAATGAGAACCTGTAGTGAGACTTTTATAACTTGCTGTGACCCATAACTTTGTGTCTATTTTTAAAGCTAACAGCATAATGCTTAACTGCACTGGGCCCTTGTGACCGTTTGATTAATTCTAGTCAAATTCTCACCAAACAGGCTGCTTTTTTTTTTCCCCCTTGTAAATTAGATGAGCTCATAATAGAAAAGTACATGCCAATAGCTGAAGTGCTGGTGGCAGACAAGTCATAACTGAAGACTTTTAAATCCCCTTTGGTAATACAGCCTTTTGTCTCCCCTCCTGTTCTCAGTCTGTTTTCGTTTCTCACTCATCCTCTGTACATTCCTTCGTGCATTGCTCATGTCTCTCCACCCACCAAGGTTCAGAATTTAAGTTGAAACTAATAACTTTATTTTTAATATTACTGTAGAGCTCAGAAGCTCAAATTGTCGACCTGATTTTGCAGAACAGAAAGATGAGCCTTACCCCAAATTGTTTGATGCATCCTTCTGTGAAATTATTTCATTAGAGAACATATCATTCAGGCACCAACATCTACAATAACCAGCAGGGTGAATGCAGAAAATCCTGGCTGAGCTAACTGTTTATTCAAACTAATTCTGCTTCAGAATAAAAGTAGGCAACAGCAAATGTTTAACTGTTACTTAGTTTTTCTGCTAGTAATTAGTGTTTTGGTCTGATAGAATTTTAAGTGGGTTTTGGTTTATGCATGTCCATCTGTGTCTTGGACAGGAAAGTCTTGAAACACTGTACCCTAGTTTGTGATTTCATCTGGGGATTCCTTGTTTACTAGGATGGTGATTGTTGGCACATAAGTAGAGAGCAGCATGTATCACAGTGCAGAATTTAGATGTTGGTGCTTTCCACCTCATAAATAAAGCAAGGCCAACAACTTATAAGTCATGCTAGTAGTAAAGGGTCTCTGCATCTTTCTTTTTCCATCCTATTGATCTGTAGTAGGAACAGGGTATCTTCTTCATTTTACATCTAACGTAAACCCCCTAAGGAACTTGTGGAATGTGCACTTGGAAAATGGAAATAACACACACAGTGGACTCTCTTTGACTTTCATCTTCAGCTGTCTTTTGATTTATGTGTTTTTTCCCCTTAGTTCTTTTTCCGGTTCATGATGCAATACAGGCAATTACTTCCTTTATTTGCACAGCAGGACAGAGGGCCTCTTCATTCTCTTCCTTTATGACTCAGATCACACTTCCCCATTTTAAGAAAGGGCTGAACTGAAGGGTAGATGAGAGCTCCTTTCAGGCCTGAGAGTCCTGGTCTTAGATGCTGCCTGCCCTGTGGTTTGCATAACAAGGCAAGGAATCACATTGCTTGGTGAGACCAGAGTTACCCAGCTTGTGGTCTGTCAGCCTTTACTGGTCCCTGACATACTGGACAGATGTCCAAAACCAGTTACTGACTTCTCCCTCTTGGTGCTGCTGGCCTGTTAGAAATGTGCAAGTTAAATTTATGACTGTTTTTAATTAAAATGTTTCTAGTAATAAGATTTCAGCTTTTAAAATCGGTACCATTTGTTCACCTGTAGCTTACTTAGTACTTCCACATTACCTTTGTTCTGACTGCCACCTGTCAGGCACCGCTGGGAAATAAGGGAGGCTGTGCTTCATCTTCTCCAAAACAGACCTAGTGAGCTTTCAGCTCAGGGGAGGGTCGTAGGACATAGCTGGGGACTGATGCAGACAGTATTAAAAAAAGCACTTGTGAAAGCTTTTACTGTGGTTTACCTTGTTTTGTAATATTATCTTTTTAAATTTTGTTGTGTGTGGATGATTTTCACAGGACAAGACCTTCTTTACTGGAGTATTTAAGCTATCTCCTCAATTTTATGAGCATCATAGCTGGGCCTTGCAGCAACTACAAGGATTATATAGCCTTCATTGAAGGGAGGCATGTGCACATGAAACTGTTAGAAGTGAACTGGAAGCAGAAGGGTTATGACAGACTTCCTGATCCTTCTCCAACTGTAAGTTTTAAAATGACAAAGATTTATTGGCAAGGGCAGGAGAGTACAGCTTTATACATTATTCTCATCATTGGAAACTAAGAAAAAAAGCCATTTTTGGATTGTCTTCCCAGTAAAAGTTACAGTGGTTTTCTTCTGTGAAGTGGCTGCTGTTTTTATCACAGGGTCAGGGTTGAAGGGGCTGGTGTCTTTCTTTTGAATTCCCTAAATAGGTTTGGCTTGCAAAACAGGTCATCAGTTAATGTGTGTCCTTTGTGCAGCAAAGGGAACAGTCTGTAGGTTTTGACAATGACAAGTTTCAGCTCAGCTCCAAGCAGAGGAGGAAATTTCAAAAAGAAAGAAGTCAAATATCACCCAGAGTGCAGGAGATGTTAGAGTACATGAATCATAGCTAATCAGAAACTGTTGCTTGTTCAGGTGCTTTGCAAGAAAATCTCACACTTTAAGATAACTTGAAGGTAACTTTTCATTAACAATTGTTAATGAAATTGACAATTTTACTTTATATATATTTTTACTACTACTTAAGACCTTCTTGTAAGACATCCCAGTTGCAAGGAAAGGATAATATAGCATGAGAACAAAATTCCTTTCTTTTACTTTAAGGCGACACTGAATGTGTAGCTTTGTGAGTGTGTGCAGAATGTCTCCTCTGAAACTGGGTATGAGCCTACACATACCTGATTGTTGTTGCACATGGTTGTATTTCTACTGACTTCAGTGGTGTCACTTCTGATTTCCATTAGTCAGGCTGAGGTCAGTATAAGGCCTGTATTGTGTTAGATGCAAGTTGGCAGAGAATATTAAAATTTGCGCTGTAACTACTTAAAGATAAAGGCACATTAATCTGTTCCTGAATAGGAAGAAGATATTAAAAGAGTATTTGGTATCAAAAAAATACTCCATTGTTTCAATTGTCTATTGCACTTCTATTAGTCTTTTGAGAACATGAGTCAGTTTTTACATGTTACCCTAGTGCCAGATCTACCTTTTTATTTATGACTGTATCATGGAGAACTTACTGCTGATGTGTAGTTGAAACTGAGCTTCTAATTACTGACATGATAGTCAGTAGTATTATTATTTTAAAAACTAGGGAGCAGTAATAGAAAACAGTATGATAGAGCAGATAAGGTATGTCATGGGAAGGTATGCATGCTGTGTAAGATGAAAACGTTTGTATCAAAGGTTTTTTAGCAAGACCTCTGGATAGTAGTTGGGTGATAAGACCTACGAGAGGTACTGAATGCCACTTCCAAGAGTCCATATAGGGAACATTTCTCCTTTAAGTTGTAGGTTTCGTTTCCTTTCTCATTTTAGGACCTTTGTAAACTGATGTAGGAGTCTCTTGTGAAGTTCATCACTCGTTTTGACTTCTGATTGTCATTTGTACCTGTCTGTAGGTAGCTCAGTAAAACAAGTTAAACCAAAACTTCAACTGTGGGCTTTTCTTTATTACCTCTAATAAAATAATTATTATCAACTTTGCAACTGCTAACTTAATTGGTTCTTGAAGCCCATTGGTTTTATATGTTATGAGTATTGCCTTTCCCCCCCCCCC